TCACCATTTCTCTGTGGCATCTTGGTGGTTGAGGAACACACCTGGGATCACTCCCTATGACAAATGCCTCCCCTCTTCCCCTGGGGGAAAAGAGGAATTCTGCTGAAATTCATCCAAGGTACTAACTGTGTTTCTGTTGTTCTCTTCATCAGCTTTTTTTAGATTTGAAAATAACCTAACCTTTCCTTGCCTATATTTTTCCTGATTCCTTGGCCCTATTCTTTATCCCTTGAGACCGAAGGAGCTTCAGGACACTTTGCATTGAGGCCTTCTTAGGACAACATATAACCATGGATGGGATTTTTGGAAAAACCCCAGCCATATGATGCAAGCCTTCATCTGAAGTGGTCTTCAGCTGCTGATCTTCAGAGTGGAGTGGATCATTCCTGGCACCAGTGTTCTCTCCCCAGGGACAAATGTCCATGTGCATGGCATTTCCAGGTTTTATCCCTGGTGCTTGGGCACCCCGTGCACAGACCTAGGCCTGACCCCTCCGCCTGTCATCTGATTTTGCAAAGTGTTGATCCAGCCACAGCTTGGAGAAAGAGAGAAATCTTTTATCTTCGGGTAACCCAATTCCCAAAGATTTGCAGGGCTGAGTGAGATCATAACAAGCCTCTGATTGTGAATGCAGTGGGGGGGATAAATTCTAAAAGTAGTAGGAGACTTATCTGAACAGCAGGTCCTTCAGGCAAGAAGTGCAATTTCATCGTGGGTATGGGTCAAATATTTCTCCCAGGTATACCAGGCTCCCCTGTAAATCAGAAGAAACTCTTTGAAGCTGATTTCAAAAACATGTGCTGTGTTACCAAAAAGTTTTTCCAAGAGCTCAGGCTATTAAGTGAGGATTGAGATATCAAAGGTGTGAAGCAGTTATGCAAACACAGCATCCAGGTTATCACCAAATTACATTTCAATTGTTGTTTCACTCCCTTTCTCCTCTTCTGGACTCTCCCATATCTCTCATGTTTGGTTATTTTCGTGGCTGCAGTTTACAGTTCTGCATGAGTCTGAATATCCCCATTGTAGCCTGCTTGGAGCCTGCCACAGATCTGTCCAAGCCACGTGACAGTCATCTAAACCTCTCCATCGCACATTTTTCTCTGTTACATTTCTTCTACTGTTTCCTTTGTGTCTTGTGTTGAAAAGGAGTAAGCAACAGAGGGTAAAAAATGAGGTTTTTTCCTTTAATGTCGCTGCATTCATTGTTTTGAATATTCTCATTCAGTAAACCATTAAGAGATTATCAGAACGTGACAGAAAATAATTTTTTAGTAATAAGCTTGGGACTGATCCAAATTCACTGGCATTAAAGAAAAGGCTCTTAGTGAATTCCATGGACTTTGAATGAAGGATTAGTCCCTCAGTCCTCAGACAGAGAAACTCTCTCCAACTTTGGTAGGAATTTAGTAGGAGTAAGGAATTTAGCCACTTGCATCTTGAAATATTAATAATGGCAACAACAGCAATAATAACAACAAAGGAACTCGATTATATCATGTTTTAACCAAAATACAGAAGATTACAACTTGTAAACTAATTTACTGTCTGAAGTGCAATATAGCAGTAGCTCTCATATGTATGGAATCAGCTGTGTCACCCCAAAGACCTCAGATTTATTGATCATAAACTGCAAAAAGTTACTATAAAAGTGAAAAACGTTTCATGGGAGTGGATAAAGGGAAAAATTATTTTATGCCTTTTATGTGTTTCACATTTCTTCTAGAGCTTTCTTTCTATGTGCTTTCATTGGAAATTACCTTTATCTTATTTTCCCCACCTGGAAAAGCAACCTGAACCTCAGAAGCTCTGAATTTCCTCCCCGGAGCTTTCCTCCTCCGCTCTGCCTCCATCCTGCTTTCTGGGGCTACCAGTGTACAATGTAATAACCAGCATTGCCTGCCCCTACAGAACAGGGTAACGTGATGCTGTGTGGTCTGGAAAGTCATTTAAACAAGATTATATTGTTCGCGGGGTGCAGAATAACCCCGCCAGGACAGCACAAAGAAAACAAAATATAGCTATATAGGCGAATGGAATCAATTGGATTTTAGGGGCTCTTCCCGGTGTCAGCAGGTGTGAGGGGGCTGCAGCAGGGAGGAAGGCTCCGCTCGGAAGATGCCATTAGCACATCGCAAACAAACACCTCATCAGCACCGCGCCTGCTTTCCTGTTTTCTTTGGGACCTTCCCACGCTCCGCAGCCGAGCTGGGACGGACTTTTAATTGGAGAAGGAGAGCAATTTTTTTTTTCTTTTTTTTTTTTCTGCTGGGGGCTCCACCCACCGCCTCGGTATTTATTGCTCTACAAATTGTGACTTCCTTCTCCTTCGAGTAACGGGCCGGTCGTAAATCAGCGCCGGGTGCGGAGGAGCAGCACATCCTGGTTCACAGCCCCATCGCTGCAAGATGGGTGTTTGTAAAGTTTATTACAGCTTAAAATTGGCGCTTTCAGCGTTTTGCCTTTTTTTCATTCTTGCGCTTAGGTAATACTTAAATAAAAATTGTATCTCCATAAAGATATTAGACGTCCATGTCCGAATATATATATTCCTTCTCGGAGGGTAATTAGTTCAGAGTACAAGTGTTTCACGTGCTTACAAGGATAAAAACCTCTGTCTCAAATACTCGCTTTTACCCAATGGCTTTGCAGGAGGAGAAAGGAGTTTATGGCTGAACTGAGAGAAGCCTTCGAAATGCTCCGTTAGCAAAAGAATAACAGATCCCTACCGCGTTCCACTTAAAATCACACACTTCGAGAGAATTGGAAGATCATTATCAGCCGTAATTTTGATTTAGTTACGTACGGTCTAGAGCTTCTTCTCCCCCCACGCGAAGTGACAGATTCGAACAGCTTTCTGGTTATTACTTTAGGGCTACAAGGAGCTCTGGGGTATAATTAAAAATATTTCCAGAAAGACTCCGTAGACCACATCTGACGTCGCAGCCCCTGTTAGAATCAGACCACATCAAAGGGACCCTTTTTGTTTTCAAAAATGGTCACCAGACAAACTTAAAATATACAAGAGTGGGCTTATGTTTTATTGTAGAGATGTCTGAGTAGAGCGAAACGACTTCAGGCTGCTCGCTATTCAGCGCTGCGCCGAGCGAGACGAGGTAGTTACGGCCCTTTGATATTTCCGTGGGGGTCGGGTTCATTTCATTTGAAAGGGGGACCATTAATGATAGACCTGTGAGTGTTCCCCTCCCTAATAAGTAGAATCCACATCGCTCGGGAAGCCTGGCTGCGGCAGATGCCCAGGGCGGAAAGATTTGTGGCTGATGGCGCTAATTATGAAAATGTGATCAAGATGGAAACAATTTGAGCAAAAGTCATTAGCGTGTTACTCTTCCACCCACTGGTCTTTGGGGTTTATTATTGCGGTGGGGGGCGGGAGGAGGATCTTGAGGGTTTTTTTCAGAGCTCTAATGAAAATACCCTGCGAATCCCGAACCGGAAAATGTCAGCTGTGCATCCACAGGGCGATGCACCAGGCTCGGGACAGAGCCGAGATTTGCTCTAAAGAGATCGCTGTAATTACTGTCACTAATTGTGTTTTATCTTCCCTTCAAGAGGTGCCGGTGAAAGCATCTTTCAGGAGACTCGTGGCACGTTAAGAGTTATTTTTTCTGCTGCCACTGTTGTATCGTAGCTCGTCAGAAGTTACTAGTCCCCAGGAGAGGATTTACCGAGCATCCCCGAAAGGAGTGTTTTCCAGAGAGGTTCTTCTTTAAGAATGGACTGAATGATTTGGCCCGCAAGCAACATCCCGCTCCCCTCACCCAAATATTGGAGCCCTGCACGTTAAAGATTTTCATATTTTTACTTTCATACCCTGCTTCTTTAGGTTCCAATCAATACGCCGGAACCACTTGTCTGCCTGGCAGTGGCATTGTAGGAAAACAGCAATAAAGTATTAATTGTACAAATATTTATCATCCCCATATCAAACTCTCCTTGTGAGGCTGGGGCTTAACTTATGAAGAAGAAAAGGGGGAGGAAGGGTGGTAATGGCGGAGAGGGTGCTTGTGGGGTTTTTTATGTGTTTCCTTCTATTCCAGACGACTGTATAATGAAAATCCTTTTAGCCTTGAAGAACTACTAAATATTAAGCACAGCTTAAAATGGGGAGTAGCTTTGGAGACAGTTTCGTCCTCCTGCCATTCCTCTTAGGAAAAGGTCGTACCCCTTCCCTTATTTTCCCGCTAGTAAAAGCTTCTCTTTTTAAAGAAGTCTTTAACGTGTAAGAAAATCCTCTTGCTCTTCATAGAAAGGTCTTTAAAAAAATTTATAGACCTCTTCATGTTCACCAGTTCCGGGAAAAAAAATTATATTGATCAAGGTCAAACGCTCGAATTGTGACGTGACTCACTTCAAAGGTGTATTTGTGTGCCCTTCAAGCACATTAATACTAATTATCTCTCAAACACTTCCCCAAAACTCCTACTGCCTGTTTCAGATGCAAATCTAATTAACGAGCTGCCTTTGAGGAGCACGCGGGGACAGCGTAATTCACGGAGCTGTTGAACCTTTTGCCTTCTTTTCTATTTATTTATAGGTAGCTCCATCCTCTTTTGAAAGCGTAGGCAGTGGTGTGAAGCGACAGGGTAGCGAGGGCAGCTCTGCGCCAGCTAATGAGACTTTCCAGGCACCGGAGTTAAGGAAAAGGATTAGCTACGACTTCTTGCAAATGCACTCAGGGATGTACATCATAACACTTGCCTTACTTTGTCTAAGTTAATTTGGGAATGATTAAATCGTGAAAGCTCTGTCTAAATAACGCCTATTAGTCGTAAGCGTGAGCTGATTGATTTAGGAATAACTGTTTGCTCTCCTCACCGGGGGCAGAGCGGGGGACACGCACACGCTGAGCAAATCCCGAGTGCGAGCCACGGGGGTGTTTTCTCCCCCCGCATCGCCTCCCGGGGAGCCGGGACCCGCACCCCCTCCCTCGCTCCTCTGCCTTTAACACTGGCGCTGCCCAGAGCCGCCTCCCGAGGATGCTCCCTTGGAGCATCATCATCATCATCCCCCGGTTCGCGGGGCTGCGCGGGGGGCGGCGGCGCTCGGCGGAGGGTCCGCGGCTGCTCCGGCTGCCGGCCCCCGTGCGGGGGTGTGCGGTGTGCGCGGTGGCGGCAGGGAGACAGAGAGAGAGAGAGAGAGAGAGAGAGAGATGCTGTGTAATTTTATCCACGCTGCACTCTGGGAGTTCACACGAGACTGATACCTTTTGCCTCCTCTGCTCTGTATCAATTGGTCGCAGATCAGGCTATTGTTGCAGGAAGCTCCTTTTATTTCTATGCTCCGTCGATCAACTATTTTCCCCGCAGTCTCCTGCCGAAATCCAGCGGCTCCCTCCCTCCCTCCCTCTCTCCCTCCTTGCCTCTCTGTCTCACGCATGCCGTCTATCTGGAAATCCAAGGAGAAGGCTGATCACGGCAGCTCCGTGTAACACAAACAGCTGGGACTCTTCGGTGGCCTTTGCCGATGTCTATTGATTTAAGTAAATCTGAGACAGATAAAAGGGACAGATCGAGGCTGATAAAATCTTGCCGATGCTGCACGGCTCCAAGCAGCGTGCGCTCGGCATCTCCGGAGTGCTGCTAGCAAGACGGCTTTAATGGGACCCCTGGTGCCACTCGCTGCGAGCCTCGCTCTCCCCAGCAGACTAAGCGCTGCGGCCATCATGCCACAATGGTTATAATTTGGATCTTGTTCCTGACTCTGTTGCAGGAGCCGTGGTCCCCAGGGCGGGCCGCGGCCGTGCCCGAGGCCGCCGGAGCCGCCCCCCGGCCGCGCCGGGATGCGGGGGGACGCGGCGGCGTCTACGAGCACCTCGGGGGAGCGCCCCGGCGCAGGAAGCTCTACTGTGCCACCAAGTACCACCTCCAGATCCACCCCAGCGGCAGGATCAACGGCACCCTGGAGAAGAACAGCGCCTTCAGTGAGTACCGGGCTCACCTCGCCCTGGGCCGGGCTGTGAGGGGATGGGGGGTCCCTCTCCCGCATCAGTCGCGCTCTGTCCCGGCCCTGGGGGGCAGCGGGTGCTGGACGGGGCGGTGGCGAAGCCGCTCCCACCTCCGCTGCTGCCCCGCTCTTCCCACCGGGGCGGCTGTGGCTCCTCGGCAGGGACAGGGGGGATCCGCCGGGGTCGGGGCTTTGGCCGCCTCCCCTCGCCTTGGCTTCCCGAGAGCCGCTCCGCTGGCTCCGCCAGGGCTCCCGCAGCTCCCCTGTCCCGGGGCTAGCAGCTCCCCTGTCCCGGGGCTGGCAGCGCTCCTGTCCCGGGGCTGCAGCATTCCCGGCCCTCGAACCGGGCGGGGAACTCCCGAGCTGGCCCCGCAGGGTGCGAGGACCCGACGGCCGGCGGAGGGTCGCGATGCCCCCGGGGCAGAAGGAGACCCCCAAACCCCAATTTTCCGCGATGGGGACTGTGACCCTGCCCATGGCAGCCCGCCCGAGCTGTCACTCGGCCTGGCTGCGCCGGGGGCCAGCCCTGCCCCAGCCTGGCCCGCTGGGCAGCGGTGCCCGGCACCTCCCGATCCGGGGCTCTCTGGGGCTGCCCGCCGGTCCCCGTCCCGTCCTAGCCTGGGGGCTTGAGCCTCCACGGTGAAATCACATCTGTCCCGTCTGACATGTGCCGGGCAGCGGCGGTAATTAAGATGAAAGCGGATATGTCGGGAGTGAAGGGGTTTGTGCGAGGGCGGCGGGAGGGAGGAGAGCGGGGCTCAGCACCGGGGGAGCCCCCGGCGCCCCCGCACCCAGCCCGGCCCCGCCACCCCAGGATGCGTAAATCCCGCCTGGTGATGGCACACAGAGATAGGGAGACCTCAGGGATCTGTCTGAAGTCCATAAAGGAAAACCACTATTTCCTAGAGAAACCCCCCCTCGCTGTCACAGCCCGGAGGAGGCATCCTCCGGCAGGGAACCGGTGCCTGATTCAAACCAGCTGTGCCAAACCCAGCCCAGCTCTCTCTCCCAGGCCAGCAATCCAGCCCTGCGCACGGAACAGGCCCCCGGCTCTGCCTTCAGGGTTTCCAACAGACAGCAGTGAGTTTGGGTACCAGGGTCACCTCTTGCTTTCAAGCACATATAAAAAGTATAGAGCCATCAGCCGTGGCTGGAGAACTGAGAGCAGGGTTGGAGTGAGCCTGATGGAGAGCTGTACACATAACACAGCATCTTCTGAGTCGTTTGTTCCTCCATCAGTGTCCTGGTACCTTTGGCTGGATGTTTGGGCAGGTATTGCACCGGCCTTGCCTGTGACACTTATCATGTTGCAGGACCCCATCTTGGACGGTCTGAAAATCTCCTCCCTTTTAATTTGTCTCAGACAGTCATACAGTCCTTGTCTGGAGGGCCGCATTGACCTCCTAAATCTCAAGTTCCTTTCATGATTATGTACATGGCTCTAAAATGCAGAGGCCTCTCTCTGTTTCACCCTCTGGAGACCTCAGAAAGGGCTTTGTCCTGAAATGGGTGGCTTTGTGACTGGCTTTGATAAGTCAAGAGCTCTTGTGTTCCTAAGCATTAAAGAGGATTTAAAGTACCTCTAGTTCAGTGTCAGATCTTTTTCATTTTTGAAAGAGTTCAATCTCAATCAGAGCTCTTGGGGTTTATTGTCCACCTTGTCTCAAACAANGAACCTCTAGTTCAGTGTCAGATCTTTTTCATTTTTGAAAGAGTTCAATCTCAATCAGAGCTCTTGGGGTTTATTGTCCACCTTGTCTCAAACAATTCCTGCATCATCTTTGTATTGTTTCAAATAATAATAATTCCATCCACATGATTGCCCTGATTCGTATGTGAGCAAGTGGTAGCTGTGAGATCACACTCCTCAGGTAAGCAGCCATGCAAATGTACCTCGAAAAATTACACCTGAGCAATAACACATCTCCTAATTCTGTTTCTAGGTATTCTGGAAATAACTGCTGTGGACGTTGGAATCGTTGCCATCAAGGGCCTGTTCTCTGGCAGATACCTGGCCATGAACAAGAGGGGCAGACTTTATGCATCAGTAAGTTTTACTGAAGCCTGGCACGTGTTTGTCATTTCCCATTGGGGGAACAGATTTAGTGAGGAGCATTGATTTCTTATAAATCCACATTTCTAGAGAAGAGTAATGCTACAAGAGGTTTTTGCCTGGGATTCTTACAGGCAGCCAATCAATATATTCTTAAAAGTGGGGGAGAAGCTGCATTCTTACTTTCTTACTGCCTGGACAGGCACAGGCACGTGGAATGTCAGAATTGTGCATATTTTATATGGATCTTGGGTGCTGGCAGAGACACCTCAGATAAAGAATGTCCACAAGTAACTGGCCATTGATGCTACAGGAAAGCAGCCTCCTGATGAGAGTTTGTTTGCACAGAGTGTTTGGTTGGGCAGTGGGAGAATTTGCAGGTACTAAAGGGCAGGGCTATAGCAAGGAAAGCAAGAAAGAGAAGGTGTAAGAAGATAAAGGTGAAAATAAGCACTTTATTTTATTCCTTTGACCTAATTGTTTTCCTTGATCTGTGAGATAAAATCTGGGGTGTGCTGATATAAGTGGCAGCCTTGCCTTTTCAGCCCAGACAGTATTTCCCCTGAGTGAATAAAATACTCCAGTTTAGACTTCTTCACACTCAGGGACATACCAGGGCACATTTGTCAGCGTGTACCATACACATTATCTCCCTACTTGAATTTCTTCGACTGTCTTTGATTACATCCCAGCAATCTTGTCATCTCTCACTACCCGACAGCCAAACTGTGCACTTTCCCCATGAATCCTGGGGCATGGGACCAGGTTTGAAGAGGGGAAATACAGCTGAGGTGAAATTTGCTCCCTCCTAGAAGTCATTCGATTTAATTCTGTTGATTGGAGCAGCAGGACATACCCTTGAGCGATGTGATCTTTTCCCATGAGAGCCCAGCCTAGGTGACACAATCAACCCTGCACCTCCCCAGTTTGACACATTTAGCTCCAGCTTTTCAGGATGTTCTGACAGTGTTTACAGCCCAGTTTCTGTAACGTTTCTCAAGTGATACTCACTGATTAAGGGGCCTGTGTGTAAAGATGAGGGTTCTTTGCTGCTGCAGGGAACCACCCCACAAACGGTTTTGGCAAAGGAAAATGCAGCTGGAGAGGAATGAGGTAGCTCTGCTTGCCAAAGTTAAGGCTGTCCAGCTGTATGCTTCTGGTTACTATTCTGATTGAAGTGGGTACCTTTTTCAGTGGACTTCCTCCATCAGTTCAGAGCCAGCATCTGCCCCGAAGAAATTATTTGGAAGGATGATTTTTTCAAGTTCTTTCTCATCTTTCTTCTCCGAAATAGAGGTTTTTGCCTTCAGATTACTTAAATTAAAATAAGGCTAAACAAATTCTGAGCAAAAAACTCCTCTCCTAAAGTGCAGAAAAACCAGGAGCAGGATAGCTCTGAGACTCCTGTTCTCCTGGACTTCCCTTTCTGGTGCGAGGAGCATCAGGCCATCCTGAAGTTTGTTCATCTTGTCTCATGCCAAAGAATATCAGCCATGGAAGGTTTCTCTATCATTTGAAAAGATAATTTGTCCCCTTCCAGCTCAAATTTGAGAGAGACCGTTTCAGACTTGTGTTTCAGAGCTGGAGGGACAATTCAGGGAAAGATATTCCACTCCAGCTTTTTTCACAGGAGCAGGAAGGGGTGAGGTCTCAGCTCAGGAGAAACTTCCTGTCTTTGCTTGCCTGTCCAACAACTTTACTGATACTGCTGGCCCAAGATCCTGTGCAAGGCCCTGTTTCAAAAATCTGACTAATTCAGGGATAATTATCCAGAGAGCACTTTATGAAATCGCACTGGAATAACTCCGTTATCCCTCGGCTCCATGTCAATAAGATGGGTTTGTTGAGCCTGCAGAATTCCTTTGTGCCCTTAGCAGATCGTGATAATCCTCTTGATTTATCCTGTGTGCTAAACCCTCCCCAGGCAGAAGGGAGGCAGGCAGCAGGACAAACCCACCTACATCTGGTGTCTGCGTGGGCTCCAGCACCACAGCATCTGAAAACCTTGTCCTTGCAAGGAAGGGCGCTTCCGTTTCACAGCTGGGGAGCTGCGACATGTGGAGTCTTTTAAAATCTTGTTAAACGCCCATCAGTGTTTCTGGGGAGTGAACAGCATTCAAGACATGCTGTTTGTGGGGTCTACGGCTTTTCTGGCCCTAGCCTGGCAACCTGTGCCCTTTCCACACCCTCCAGAAAATGAAAGATAAAAACCCATGGTGGTAGCTCCCTTCTGCCTCTGAGCTTCACACGTTTTAGATCCTGAAATCTTAATCCCACAGGTGCAGCAAGGATGGGTTTGGAGTTAAGGAAAGATGGACAGCGTGGGGGGTCCTTTGTCTGTGCTGGTTCTCCTGCTCCCGGGGAGGGGGAAGGAGTTTCTTGTGGCAGGCTTTTGCAGAGATGTCTCTCAGTCAAGGAGCAGGTGAAAAGGGGCAATTTTTGACAGATCATGTGAAATGTGAGCAACTGGGTTGGGTGCACATTGTGCCTTACAGTGATAAAGGAGCAGCCTGGCATTTTGGAGGAACACACTGGTAGGCAGAGTGTGCTTTCATTTTGTTATGCTGACAAAGAAGTTCCATAAAGGTGTGGTTTACTGCTCAAATATCCATTCTGAACTGGTTGCAACAGGCTATAAGTGTATCTAATGACTAATACACCAATTGAAGAGAAATTTTACATTACACTGCATGATTTTACCTTTTCAATAGATGGCAGAGGTTGATAGGCAGCAATTAAATCATCTGTCCAGCTCACAGCTGCATGAAATTCATAAATACAAAAAAAAATTACAGCTGAATAATCAGCAGAGCTATTCACTCCCATTCACATGTCATCTTTTTGTTTTCAGTTTGGTTTTGGGGCTTCTTCCTGGGGTCTCTTATGCACAGTGTGTTCACAGGGAGCACCTTCAGGCTCAGTGTTTCTCTCCTGCCTTTTGTAGCACCAGCCTGAGGTTTTCTTATCAAGTGCATTGCTCTCCATGTCCTAAAACTGAGGAGAATCTTGCTTAAGATAATTTTCCTGTTTCCTTTCCAGGAGAGCTACAACTCGGAGTGTGAGTTCGTGGAGAGGATCCACGAGCTGGGTTACAACACCTACGCGTCCCGGCTGTACCGGACTGTGCCCAGCAGGGCGGGCACCAGGCGCAAAGCCAGCGCGGAGAGACTCTGGTACGTCTCCATCAATGGCAAAGGACGACCCAGGAGGGGCTTTAAGACCCGCAGGACACAGAAATCCTCTCTCTTTCTGCCCAGAGTGCTGGATAACAAGGACCACGAGATGGTCCGGCTGTTCCACACCAATGTGAAATTCCGGGAGAGTCTCCTGAAGGCGCCGAGCAAGAACCAGCGCAGAAGGAGAGGACACTGATGGGGTGGGGGAGAGATTGTGATGGGGGTGGGAGGCACTGAGAGCCTTCAAAACGCTACTAAAAAACCTAACAGCTGTGACTGTACAGGAGGCATTAACACAGACAGGTTTTATACACTGTGTAATGTACCCAAAAACCACGTCGCTTGCTTTTAGCTATTGTAGGGTTGTTACCTGTGGGGAAAGAGATGGGAGAGAAGCTGAGGCACATTCAAAGGTAAATTAGCTGGATGTAATAATTTTGTCAATGACTTTCACGTTTCCTTTTCTTTAAAAAAAAAGAAAAAAAAAGAAAAATTATTTCAAGTATTTTCATTCTAACTTGCCATAGGCTATTATCTCAGTGATGCTGCCCTCCAAACCATTAGGGTATTTAACACTTACTAAATTTATGTCCACAGAGAAGGTATAGCACCTTCATGGCATTTCTGGCCATAAGAGGCTACATTCTTATTTTTACATAATACAGGAGTTAGAAAACCAGTGGTTTGTTTCTTTTAATTTACATATTTTTATTTTATGATCAGCCATTAACAATTATACTTTTTCCAAGACTGTCCAAGAAAAGTAAGATTGTCATCTACTTCAAACGCTTCAATAGACCAACACATTACCAGATTATCCTTGGTTTTGTTAAACTAAAACTCTGAGATGCCTGACCTTGTCATTTAAATAAATGAATGGTGGTAAAGTGGCGTTAGCACTGGTCAGGCTTTGGCAGTATAAATCTGTTTACCAACAGATGAATCCTCTCTTAGAAAAGGACTCAAATGTGATGTGAAAGAGAGTGGGTTTGGCTTGGATACTGGGAAGGAATTGTTCCCTGTGAAGGTGCTGAGGCCCTGGCTCAGGTTGCCCAGAGAAGCTGTGGCTGCCCCATCCCTGGAAGTGTCCAAGGCCAGGCTGGATGGGGTTTGGAGAAACCTGGGCTAGTGCAAGGTGTCCCTGCCCAGGGCAGGGGGTAGAATTGGATGAGATTTAAAGTCCCTCCCAACCCAAACCATTCCATGCTTCTATGATTTTTCTGCTGTGATTCTGGAAGTTAACTTCTGCAAAGCCAAGGGGAGTCCCCATCACAGATTCAATTCTGAGCAAGGGTTTAAGCTTCAAACATTTTTTCCTGGCATCCAGGAGATGACAGAGTAGCACAAAGATTGAGATGTGCTTGACAAGCTCGAATAATGGTAATTTAAGTGGGATTTGGCCTCATGCTCCTCATTTCCCAGAATTAGGCCCTGATAGTAGAGAGCTGGAGAAAAGAAAGACTGCACTGAAATGAACACTCCTTCTGAATTTAACAAAAGATCTGTAAGTTCAATCTGACATTACATAGAAACAGACAGGTGTCATATCCTGGTCATATTGAGAAAAAAGGTTTCCCTGTGGAAATGAATATGCCTGTTTAGATGAGCTCATTTAAAACTAGGTAGTAAAAAACTCTTCTGTTCACCAGGAGGTGAAATCCGTGAGAGAGAAAAGTAAGATAAGTTCACAGAATGAGGGGACCAAGCCTGGGTTTAGCACTGCTTACATCCCTGTAAAGGTAAAACCAGAAATACACCAAGTAATGTGTTCCATTCCTTCCACCCTCCTATCTTTTCTGTAATGTTCTAACAAAGGGGGAAACTATGTTTCAATAAGGAAGTCAGAGTTCCTTGATCTCCATTCTTCTTTATACTGAAATCATGTAAAAAAGATCCTTAAATGACGTACATTATTTAATGGTGCACACAGAATAGGCCGAGGCTTAAAGAAGAGTACAGAAAACAGTGACCCATGCTCCCAAATTTTCCTGCTTTTACAAAATAACCAAAAATAGTGATGGGGTCTTCACAGACTTAATCAAGCAGCCTCGTATCAGGAGCCACTGTTCAAAGAGGAAAGAGAGAGACTGAAAAAAGAAACAGAAGAATTCAGGTTTTCTGTTTGTTCACTGTCCTGCCAACCCCACAGGGCCCAAAGTGCTGCAGGATCCAAGGAGCCCTCTGAAAGCTGGTCCTATCAGGGAATAAAATTAAGTTTTGCCTCCTGGGCATCAGGGCTGTTTTGGGGACACACTGCTGGGTCTGGCAGCTCCCCTATCTCAATTCCCCATTTCACTTCCCACCAGAGATGGGAGATGACTGGGGAGGAAAGGGGGAGGCAGGGAGCCCTCCCAGCTCTTCAGATCCAGGAAAACAATGCAAGGGAAGGAAAGATCACATACAGCTGAAGGTTGAGAGAGACAGCTTCCCTTATGTCTAATTTCTAAATAAATAAATGAAAAATATTTATTTTGACCACTTTCAGATTTACTTCACCTCAACTTGTAACAAAATCAAGATCCATTCTCAGCTTACTCTCCCCTAAAGTTGCTGTTATAAAGTTAGTGACTACTGACTGCTCCAGGTATTTTTGATACAGACCTGATGGTCTGAAGAAAATGAACAAACTCCTGTTTCCCATGACACAAAGATGCATTTTCACCCCTGCTCCAAGTCCATTACCTATCAAACGTTTACTCTTCACTCCCAGCTTCTCTCAAGGACAAGTTTTTTTGTGCTGGCTGAATCCCTTGCTTTGCTGTACTTCTGTTGTTATCAATTTTTCCTCTCACTCTTTACTCCTGCCTCTCTTTTCCAGATGTCCCAGCTCCCTGCCATAAAGGATCAGCAGGTAACTGCTGTGGGTGATACAGAAATATCACTAATTAAAAAACACCTGCTTACTCCTGCCTTTGTTTACAGCTGTATTTCATGCTTGTAGGAATATTGGTTTAACCACTTTCCTGTAGGAAATCACAATGAAGTTAAGCTTAATATGCAAATTAAATTCTTATTTCAGTGTTAGTTTTTGTCCCAACAAAGCCTAAAATACTAACACTGAAAAAGAAAGGAGAGGGGAGACAAAAGAAAAAATAATTAACTTATTGGACACAATGGCATTTTAACTACTGTAAGTAAGTGATGATTTTCACATCAACCTAAAACAATTTCACCCACATTCTTAGGATTTTTCTTTGCTCAGTCTCATTGCAGCAATTCAAAGGAGATGACTTTGGGATTTGTCTGCTTTTTTTTTTCTATCTTTTAAGAATCATTAATGTTCTTGTTGAAATGCTTTTCATTACAGACATTCATTGCTTAATATTCTTTTAGCAACCTTGAATTCCACAGTTCCCAGACACTGACAGGCTGAAATCCTATTCATGATAATGGTCCCAGTTGTATTCTATATCCCATTTTATTTATTTGGACTAGAACCATAGGGGATACCATACAGGAGGAAGTAGATTTGAGCTATTTTCTCCTTAGGAATACAACATCAGGATGTGTCTCCTCTTTTAAAAGTTCCTTGAGTGAATCTGTACCTTTCCATTGTACAGGCTGTTATCAGGATTTTTTTATTTTGTGTTTTTTGAGGAAGATGTAAACTTTACCCCTTTGGGGGCTCCAGAGTTTCTGCAAATTTCACATACTCCAGAGCACAAAGCCATTGCTGTTCTCACCCTGGAGCCAGGAGAGGATGCTCCTCACAAATTCCTTGTTTTCTCCTGGGCTGCCTGCTCTAGGTGACCCTGCTTCAGGAGAGGGCTTGGATCAGATGTTCCCACCCATCAGCCTGTCTGTGATTCAGAGATTAGCTGTACTTCATTCAAACTGATTATTAGTTTGCCCTCACCTTTGGATGTTCAGATTCCTGCTGTGCATTTTGGAGCCCAGTTCCCTCTCCCAACCCCTCCAATTTCTCCCCATTCACAAATGCTGTTCAGTTTGGGATCAGTAATTCTCCAGCCCACTCTAAATCTGATGTACTTAGTATCTGTTCTCTCCCTTAAAATCACTCACTGCACATTCAGTAGAGTTACCCAACTGGCAGATATGAACAAGAATTGAGCAGCTCGTGTATGCACTTCCAAAAATTGTCTTTTCAGGTTGCTCTTCTGCACCATCCCTTTCCCACACTCCACAAGATACCTTTTCATCTCCTTCACCTCTTCCCTATGGCAAAAGTCTTTCTATGGGTGCCTTTTCTAGGATTTGTAGAACTGTAGAACCATTTTCTCACTGTTTTGTACTTTTAAAATACGTTGTTCTGTAGAAATTGTACAAGTTATGCAATTTTTATTTTTTTTTTACTTTCCCAGTCACTGATATGTTACTTTAACTGGACTTGAATGGCATTGTCTTTTCATGAGGCAGAGAACAGTGAATTGAGGGGTTTTGGCAAAGTTTTAATTTACTTGCTTCCAGACAGAAGAAACACAGCCTGGTCTGTGACTTCTTGATTTATATCTGGAGCAGATTTTTTAGTTCCTTTAATCCTTGCTTTAGCCCATCATAGCTCTGTTCACCAACCTCATAAAATACCCTGGCCTTTGGTGACTGTGTTGGGACTTTTGTGGCTGTCTCTTTGTGAAAAGCAAAAGCTGGACTTGAAACATGCCATGCCCGTGCCAAATAACTAAATAACAAGGCAGGAATTGTTTCCAAATTTGCTCACACCTTTTTTTTCTCCACTTTCTAAGCATGGATTTTCCTTCTTTTTGAGCATCATTAATTTGCCATCCTGAGATTATATTCTGGTGATTCTGTGATATTTCTGGCTCTTTGTTTCACTTTATATTAGTTTCTACAAGCCCTGCTCCTGTTTGTCTCAGCAAGAACAGCAGTGAACTCTACTTACATTTTGAGACTGCTTCACAGTTATTCCCTCAGCATTTAGAAGAGGGCCTGGTGACATTTCTCAAGGTAATCTTATTTCATTATAAAGAATGTACAAAATCTGTTTTCCTCAGTCACCACAAGCATGAAAATAATGCTAGAGGGGATGTTTTGCTCATACTCTTTAATAGCACTAACCAGCCCCAAAACCCTCTCTGTTTTGAGTCCTTTTGTGAGCTCTTGGATTTCCTGCTTCACTTCCTGACGTTTCTACTTTCTACTCTGCTTTTCTTCCACAGATGTACAACCCTCTGGAAAACAATAGGCAAAGAAATCCCTTTGGCCACACGTGTCTTC